TTTGGCCCCTGATCGAGCTAGAGCTTCGCGGAAAAAACGAGCGTGTTGCCCGTGACGAGAAGAAGCCGATGATACCCAATTTTAAGGTCCTAGGTCATTGGGTGACCTTCCAGGTCAGGTCAATGACCCAAAGTCGGGAAAATCGGGACCTGTTAGAAAGTCGTAAAGTGTGGCTGCTAAGGGGTTTTTCGGGGTGCTGATCACGAATATCGTGTTAGTTTTGATCACAGATGATGTCTTTAAGCATTTAGACCAGGTCGGGTCAGGTCAGGTCAGGTCAACCAGTAGGCATCGTGACGGATATTCGTAGTACGTGTCAACCGCCTCTGACAGCTTCGTAACATGTTACGAAGGCACCAAAACTGCTTCGTAAATGTTCAAATGGTTGCTAAATTCGAATTCAGCTCCAAAAACTAGCCTAGAAACATGTATAGCTCGAAAAAGTGAGCCGAGGTCACCCGAGGTCACCAAAGGTCAATGACCTGACCTGACCTTCAGGTGACCTTGACACCCACCCTAATGCATGGAAGCAACATCAAATCACATGTTTGAACGTTTGAAACCACGAAAAGCTTGCAAACGCGCGGCTAATGCGAGCCGACATACGCAGAATCGCGATTCCGGCCAAACATGGTCTCAGAAAAGAGGTCACAGGTCAAAGGTCACTTGGGTCAGGGTCATGAAATTTTCAGGGTAGGTGTAAAATTGATCAATGTGAGGGTACTGAAAGTTTCGTCGCGATCGGCCGCTTTTTACGCGAGTTATTCGCGAAAAACCATGGGGGGGGGGTCCATCCGACCCCCCCCCTACACATGCGAGGGTTAAGGTCAACTTTCGGGTCAAGGTCAGGTCAAAGGTCAAATTCAGGGGTTTTGCATGATTAGGCTTACGGACAGCAGAATCGATAGCTGCTGCTCGAAACTCACCAAAAATGACCTCAAAGGCCTAGTGAAGGTACCATGTGCGTATAGGGGTCATACTAAGTACGGGTCAAGGTCAGGTCAGGTCACGAAAGGTCACGGTTTTCACTTTCTGCTACATAGGCGTGCGACACATGTTTTATGCCTTATTTTTCACGCCGAATCCGATGGTAATGGCTATATATGACCGCAAGTCACTGTACTGGTGATAAGTGTGCATTGAAAGCATAAAAATCGTTTATACCATACATAACTAAACGAGGGCTGAGAAAAAAGGTCAATTTTTCAACTTTTTATATTTGACATAAAAATGCACTTTTCTAGACGAGCTTTGTCCCAGGAATCTAGTGGTGCCATTTGTTTTCACATGCGATGTTCAGAAGTGCCTCTAATTCTCGAAAATGCTTATGACGTCACCATGCACTATGCATGTTGGAGCTATTGTTTTGCAAATTGGGGGTCAAAAATCAAGATAGAAAGTTGAAATTTTGGGCACCTAATGTTCTAATAGAGCTCTACAACATATATTCCTGTTTTTTGGAAATTCCCAAAATTTTGGATTTAATTAGCTGTTTTCCGAAAAATATAGTTTTTTGAATTTTTAGGGGTGAAAAACGCATTTTATGGAAAATCCGAGATAGCCATTTTGAAGAACTCGTCGAGGTGCGTCTTTTCATGTCCCTAATTAGCAATTTGCTTTAAACCCTGATTTTTGGCGATTTTTTAAACATTTACCACTTTTTGACTAAAAACGCCATGTAGTAACATCACTAAAATCGATATATCTCAAAAAAAATTTGGATTTTTTTTCTTAAAAGTTGCACAGGAGACGTCAAATTGATGGGGAGAAGGTATGCCAAGTTTCAAGTAGATAGCGAAAGTGGTTCATGAGTTATTCAAGAAAAACGGAGGGGGGGGGGGGTCGGATCCGACCCCCCCCCCAGGCGGTCGCGGGTTACCGCGTGTCGCTACGTGGCCCAGGAGCCGAGTTAGAAGGGGGGTGTTCAGACACCCCCGCGGCCCGGCGCGGAATCTCAGAGCACCGGCCCGGCACGGGTTAACCCGGCAGTTGCTGGGGTATTTCGCCACCCACCGTTTGCTGGCGGGGGGGGGGGGGCGTTAAACGCCCCCAGCCGATAACTCGAGAACCAATAGGCGCAGCGAAACGCACGAGGCGGCAAACGAAAGAACGCGACGAGACGCTTCAGATGAGTACTTAAAAGTTGAATTTTGAGGTCACAGGTTGGGTCAAGGTCAGGTCAAACACCTGAAATCGGGCTTCCAGTAGCATGGACTTCAGGACTTCGCAATGGGCGCCTGTCGTCATAAACTCTGTCAAAACGGTGCAAAATCCATCATATAAGGCCTACAAGAGTGTCAGCTCCATGTAGGGGTCAGTCAAGCATAGGTCAGGGTCAAGGTCAGGTCAACCCGGTAGGCACATATCCTCGAAAATCAAAACTGATATTCGCAGCCTGTGACACATGTTTTATGGGTAATTTGGGGCGTAGAACACGATGGTGACATTCAATTTGTCATATGTGTACAAGTATGGCTCAAAAAGTTCAATTTAAGAAATGCATGTATCATGGTCGTGAAGTAGTCACGAGAAATTGCCAAGATTCAGTTGAAGATTTTGGAAAATGTGGAACGATAATTAATAATCGAAGATAGCCATTTGATTGTTCATGGTATTGGCAGTCTAATGGCGTTTACGGCATGTCTGTATCTCTATTTTGTGATTTTATATGATTTTTTGAACATATGCCGTTTTTGGTCAAAAACTCAGAAATCATGACGTCACTAAAACCTCGATATCTCAAAAATTTTCCGACCAATTTTGTTGAAACTTTGTCACAATAAACTTAAATCAATTTCCTACAGGTACCTAAAATTTGGCGCGCCTGCGGCGCGCCGTTTTTATGCTATGGTCCGGCAAAAAAGTGGGGGCGTTTAACGCCCCCCCCCAGCAACTCGCGGGTTAAGTTCTGTGGTTTCAAAACACAAAAGTGATAGAACGAAGCGGATATCTCCAGTATTTTCCGAATTTAGTATTTTCCCGTAGGCTGAACCCGCGCCCCGTAGGGCTACCAGCGGACCCTACCACCCATAGGGGGGGGGGGGCGTTTCGCCCCCCCCTAAGATCTCGGAAATTTACCGGCCGATTTTCAAAATTCATACGGCGTTCGATAGCCCCACTAGGGAACTACCTTGTGACCAAATTTCATTGACCTAGGTCAAACCGATGACGTCACAGGTCAGGTCAAAGGTCGGATTTTCACCGTTCACAGGCATTTCAAGAAATGTGTTGTGAAATCGAGTAAATTGGTAAGTTATTGAAAACCATCGATTGTACATTGTTAGTCAAACACGCTATATGAGGTCACTGATACCAGGTCAGGTCACAGGTCAGGTCAAAGAGGTCAGGTTACTTGTGGTCACAATATGAAAGTGTCGTGTGATACATGTTTTATGATCCATTTTTCATGACAAATGCGATTATGCGGGTCAGGAAGCCTTTGGGGCCAGCTTAGGTCACATTTTGGTGAAGGTCAGGTCAAGGTCAGGTCAAATTAGGTCAAATTTCAAAGTTGATATTTTTGCATAACATGGGTATCGATTCGATGCAGCTCGTCACGGGGAGTCCAATGGTGGTCTTTGTTTTGCCCTACGTAGTCTAGAATTGCGAAAAATTGAGTGTGAAAATTTGACGTCACCATTTTTGAACAGTTTTTTTTCGCCATAACTTGGCCAAAAACGAGATATCGATCTGAAATCTGGTATGTAGATAGTAGACGGTAGGTACTATCACATACATCCCGTTTTTTCGAAACTCAAAAACTTTTTTGAGTTTTTAGCTAATATATCCAAAAAATTGCTTTTTTTGAGTTTTGGGGGTCAAAACTCAAAAATTTCAAAAATCCGAGATCGCAGTTTTCTAGCCCTGACAATTCTACACCTTCTATGTATTGATCATTTTTCTGTATCTTCAAAGCTGTAGGTCTGACAGCTCTTCTGGCGAAGGTCTTTTTTCGGTCGAAAATGGCAGAACATGACGTCATTCTGACGTCATTTGTGGCTAACCTATCATAGCCTCTGGAAAATTTTTGGTCACAATGTGTAAAATTGATGCCCGGAGGGGTCCTGCAAGTTTGGTGACGATATCTCATGCCGTTTAGGAGATTTCGACGGAAAAGGACAAGGGGAGCCGTTTCGCCCCCCCCCCCCTACGGGGCGCGGGTTAACATTACGACGTAATGACCTCTAACTGACCTCAGGTCAGTGACATAAAAACCCGAACCATATGTTATACAACTAGGTGAACTTAGCACATCCTGAAAGTTTGAAGGAAATCAGTCCAAAGCTGTGAGTTGGACAGTTGCAAAAAGAAAATCGAAATTTAACCATGTCCTTATACCGTTTTTTTCTGACCTGGTGACCTGACCCAAGGTCACCTGGACCTGAAACTTTAAGGTCATATGTAAAAAGGTTGCCGCATATACTGTGCGAAATTTGGCGGCGCTGCACGCCGCCGTTTTTACGCTATCTTCGGAAAACCTTAAAGGGGTTGCATTGACCCCCCTGCCAGGGCGAGGGATATGTATACCGGTTTTCTCGAAATTCAAAGAAGCTTTTTGGCTTTTTTGGCCATTATATAAAAAATGTTTTTTTAATTTTAGGGGGTTAAAATCAAAAGAAATTTAAAATTCGAGAAAGCAGTTTTGTACTACCTACCGTTCATCCTACACATTTTATGTCCTGATCATTTTTATGTATTTTCAATGCTGTAGGGCTGACAGCTCTTCCCGCGAAACGGTTTTTGGTGTCGAAAATCATTTGCGGCCAGCCTATCATAGCCCCTGGAAAAAAAAAATCTGATCACTATGTGTACCTAAAATTGATGCCCGGAGAGGTCCTGAAAGATTGGTGACGATATCAGAAGACGTTTGGTAGATATTTACGGGCCGTTTCGCCCCCCCCCCCCCCTTACGGGGCGCGGGTTAAGATGATGTCGCTAACTTTATAAAGCTCTGTCGCTTTTCGTCACCAAGCGTGAAAGGTAACGGTAGAATATCTTACCTGGATGAACCTGCTTCTCTTCTCATCGTCCCAAAAGGTCGGATGTTTGGCGACGTATTTGCTCGATGGCCTTTCTTGTGGTTTTAGCTTTATCATTTCTTCGATCAGCTTCTTTGCTGAACCATCTTTGACCTTGTCCAGGCTGAAAAAGGTTATAATGATTAGTGTTCTATCCCACGCCCATGCATGCGTAGGATGCAGGGATGAAAAAATGTCTCAGACTATCACCGACGGAAGGTCCAACTGACTCAGGCCAATTATTTGACATTTGTGTATAGCCAAATGACTTTCAGGAATCGCTTGAGACCTCAATATAAGCACATAATGAAAACAAATCATATTTTTTACAGTCACATAAATCTAATTCAGTGATTGGAATCAATAGCCATTAACCCCATATCAGGCGGGGGGCGGGGCCTTTAATCCGGCAGGCGGTGGGCCTCCCGGCAACCTTCCGCGCGGCATGGGGGGGGGCATTTTTTGCCTCCCCCGTATCTCCGAAACTACTGGACGGATCCGAAAAATTCAAACGGCGTTCGATAGTCCTGTCAAATTTATCGAGACAAATCAAAAAGCATTGACCTCGGGGTCACCGATGACGTCACAGGTCAGGTCAAATATACAATTTTTGACCGTTTACGGGTCTTCTAGCCCTCGCCCGCACATGGGGGGGGGGGGTGGTTGCCACCCCCCCCAGGTAGTCTTTCTGCTCTGCACTCAACATTGTTAGAGCTAGAAGGCTGATTTTTCGTATAGCTGCTCCTCTATCCTTTCTTGATGTCCACTGAAAATGTCAAGTTTCTGTGATTTTTGGTTTCGGAGATATGACCTTGTTTTTCAGGTCATGTCATGACCCAAATGGCCAATTCTCAACATCTTGCGTTTGCCATGGGCCTTATGAGCTTTTGACACCCTGATTTCGGCCTTTTTTGCCAGTCTTACCTCCCACCTATCATGGAACATGTTGTTCGACGATGTACAGGGGTCAAGGTCAGGGTCAAGGTCAACCTAGGTCATCTAAGATAATTGCGTTTTAGGCAAGCTGAATTTACTTTTTTTGAAGTTTTTTTGACTGCATTTTTGGTAAAAGCTTCTCAGATCATGATTTCATGTAATATGGACCCAAAAACAATCGGTGCACACATCAGTATACACACAGACACACACAGACATACAAACACATATAATTGACCTTGACCTAACTTGACCTGAGATGACCTCAGCAGCAAAATTCTGGTCGGGTAGTGTGACAAAGAGGTTCTAGCTGGCTTGGCACCAGAAAACAGCATCGTCATCGGTATTTGATAAGCAGCACACTTGATATCCAACGGTGACCCAAAACAGCAACATTTTTTAGTTTGACCTGACCTGGAAGGTCAATGACTGACCTAAGAAGGTAAAACTGGGTATCATTGGATTCGTCTCTTCCCAAAGAATCTTTTTGGTCTTTACTGCTAAGCTCTATCTCCAACAGGAACGAAATGGCGCGGGGGGGTGGCAACCACCCCCCCATGTGCGTTCTAGGATGGGAAAATGGCATGTGCGGGCGAGGGCTAAGGAATGCGCTACAACATCGAGGAAAACGCATTTTGTCGAGAACGTTAGGCGGCACGGGCGGACATCGATAGCAGCGCCTCTATCGGTCACTAGGGAAAGCTGGGCTGAAGGCGACGAAATACCGGCTGAGTTGTCACACGTTGAATTGGTTTATAGACATCCGTCTTGTGAAAAAGTTAACTTTTGCCTTCATTATTTCTACAGGCAATTTTAGAAGTGTCTTCACATAGATTACAAAACTGTTTAGATTATTGTATTCACTTCAAGCCTTCCCTATTGTTCTTGACGATGATGCGGGAACTATTTCTAATTAGTGTTTCTAGCTTAGTAAAAGAACATATTGTGCAAACGATGAAAAAAGCATAAGTGGAAGATATTAAATGCAATTTTCTCTAACAATTAATGATAAATTATCTACACATCAAGCAAAAGGTGCACGCTAACTGACTGATAATTTAAAGTTCTTGGGGCCATTTGTTTTCTTCTTTTCTTACGTCGCCCCAATGGCCGCGAATATACTTGTGATAACGCCTATCGATCAGCGATAGAGCGTAAGTTGTCTAATACATATGTTGCTATTGGAGGTCACTGATAATGCCAGGTCAGGTCACATGTCAGGTCACCAAAATTCAGCACATGAAACCAACTTTACTATGGTTGTGCGATGTATGTTTTATGACAATTTTTTTTTTTTCATTTCCAACTCAATGGTGTTGGTTATAAGACCATCAGGTACGTTTTAGATCACTTCCTGGTGGGGGTCAGGTCAATGTCAGGTAAAAAAGGTCAAATTTCAAAGTTGATAGTTTTGCATAAAAAGGGTATCGATTCGATGCAGCTCGTCACGGGGAGTCTAATGGTGGTCTTTGTTTTGCGCTACGTGGTCTAGAATTGCTAACAATTGAGTTTGAAAATTTGACATCATCAATTTTGATTACTTCTTTCGCTATAACTTGGCCAAAAAAAGAGGTATCCATCTAAAATTTGGTATGTGAGTAAAAGTCGATAGGGGCTATTGTAGCACGCTACATCTTGACCATCTAACGTAGTATCTTTTCGGCACGGCCGGCCCGGTGACGCGCAGCGGAGCAGAGCGCTGCCGCACGCTTCCCTCCCTTGTCATTATTCCCTCCCTCCTCCCACCAGTCCCCTGGTCCGCCCTCCCCAATCATTTCTCACTGTCCGCACAGAATGGGCCGCCATTAAACTCCAATTAAGACAAGCACCTCTGAAGACAGTCACATCAGGATGAGTCATTGGTAGTCATTACAAAGCAGCTGAAGCTACAAGCAAACGTCGGCACACTGTGAGACCACGCGCAGGCTTAAAGCACGTAGCACATTGGGTCTCACGTAGCCATGGTAGCACAACAGTGCGTCATCCTGCAACGGAATCTGCTGAACTTAGCAAACAGCCTCCGAAACAGACGTAGTTCAGGACGTCTCCACCGCGGACAGAAAGCGCTGTTGTCCGAAACAGACGTAGTTCAGGACGTCCCCACCGCGGACAGAAAGCGCTGTTCTACTGACCCTCCCAACCAAGATGACGTCAGTGGGCGGAGCAAGAGTGACGTCACAAGGGGCGTTGCCGGCAGACGAAACGGAAGGAAACAAAAGTTTGAATAAAATGAAATTGAAGACCCAAAATTAAAACTCGAAAATCACCAACCTTTCGGGGATTGGTTTATGCCAGCGACTACTAAGATGATAAAGCACTCAACACGAAGACCATTCGACGGCCAAAAATTGCAGACACAGAGGAGCAAGGTGACTAAACAGGACAGAGGGCGCCATCTTACGGGCCCACCCACAAGAGGAAGGCAGAGGAAGATGACGGCGCAAGGGCGTGGCAGTCACCCCCCCCCCCCCCCAACTATAAAAGGGTGCGCCACCCAACCAGAGACACAGTCACAGTCGAGCAACCGGGAGTCACAGTCCACAGCTGGAGCCGGAGACACCACCTGGAGGCCGCCGTCGGTCCGGGGTCACCCGCGAGAAGCCTCTTCAGTTCGACCGACCAGAGCCGGAGGACAACCGCCGACGCTTGTGACCACACTGAGAAGCGGAAGCGCAGAGGAACTCCAGAATGTGAGTGTTGTTGAAAAGTCTGCTCAATCCCTGACCCTTGCCCCCCCCCCCTCTGCCCAGCCTACCGTGCCTTGACGACTGCCAAACATTTTCGGTTGCCATAAAATGCACTCTCAATTGGAATTGGAAAACTTAAATTACTTTGAACTTATTGGTCCAGACACCCTAGTAGCACATTAGGATCTGAATTTTGAGGTCATGTCAGAGCCGCCAGTAGGGGAAGTTGGGGCAATGCCGGAGTTGGGGCAAAGCCGAAATTCGAGATATTTCTAAAACCGTAAGACATGGATGCCACCTGTCAGTGATGCTCTGAAGCTTAAGTGACTACAATTATCGCATGTTTGTTACGAGTCGTCATTCGGAATACTTCGGCTGTGAGGGCGCCAAGAGCGTTTTCAAGGTACGCGTTCCTTGTACTACATGCGCCTTTGAAGCCGCATTTCTTACTCATTATGCTACCGTTTGTCTGGCCAATTCGGTCAAGTAATCTTCAGCATGTCTTTGCATAAGTGTGCTGCCTATTTGAAATTTATACGGCACGTTGAAAAGTTATGGGCCTGCAAATGAAAGTATGGCTGGCTGGGGTAATGCCGAAAACGTGCAATTACGCACGTTAAAGCACGCTACGTGGACTTTACTGCTGTAGAATAGCAACGCGAATTTTAACCCGCGCGGGGCTGGGGGGGGGGGGGTAAATTTTACCCCCCTCGCGAATTTTTGCGATATCTCCGCCAAACTTTCAGTACCTTTTCTTACATCAATTTGACACGTTCCCTGAAAATTTGAGCGAAATCCGTCGGAAAATTTTTGAGAAATTGACGTTTTAGTGACGTCATGTTCGCCATTTTCGCCTCAAAAACGGCAAAAGTTCAAACGCCGCTAACATCTTCATTTTTAAAGGAATCAAGACGTAACAAAAAAGGTTATACGTAATTTTACTTTGTCTATCAAATGGCTATCTCGGTTTTTTGAAAATTTTGGATTTTGGCCTAAATTTTTTTCAAAAAACTGAATTTTTTGGGAAAATCATTATAAAATCCAAAATTTTAAGTCTATCAAAAAAACCGGAATATATGTCAGAGAAGTGGTCTATGTGCACCTACATACCAAATTTTAAAAGAATCGGTTCAAAAATGTGGGAGTTATTCAAAATTTTATGACGTTACGACACACAAAATTTTTGAAAAAAATGACTTTTTTGGAAGTTCTAGACCTCGTACGGAAACAAAAATAGCACCATTCGATTCGCCGTGAAAAACTGCATCAGATAGACACCTTTTTAGGCCTTAACAACCAACTTCAAAATTTGACCTCACTTGACCTGACCTTGACCTGACCTCGACCTGAAATTCATCCAGAGGTGGTCCATATCACTTATTGAGTGTGCCTATTGAATTCTATGAGTAAAATGACCCATAAAACATGTGTCGCACATGCCCTTTTCTATATTTTGTTTTTTGGTGACCTGACCTGACCTGACCTGACCTTGACCTTGACCTCTGAATGATATTGTATGCAACGAATATTGTCTTGGTAGCCTAAGAACACGTTTTGGGCGATCAGTCTCAGTCCATGACTCCATTCTTCGGCAACTACGGTGCAAGGCCGATACTGTAGAAACTTGCAATTTGTACCCTTGACCTGACCTTGACCTTGACCTCAAACTTTAAATTAAGTACATGTTTTTAGTAGTTCGTGATGGAAGCTTTCGATTGGCGTTTGAATTTTCCAAATCGGACCATTAGTTTGGGAGATAACAGGGGGGTAAAATTTACCCCCCCCCCCAGCCCCGCGCGTTCGGCTGGAGACCCCAGCCCCGCGCGGGTTAAGTCACACAAATTACACTTTCAACCGACACAACGGCCTGTTACCTATAAGGAATTATTTACCTGGAATTTTCTTATTATATCACACAATTATAACTTCCAGTGTGCACCAAGCGTCCTCAAGCTCTTAAAACGCGTGTCAGCTTTGATAAATTCTGGATAAAGTTTGAGATAAAGTGGCAAAACATCAATGTCGGCATTCCCGTAGATCATTTCTCCCATTTTCGGCTTTCCCCGCAGTCCGGGGCAACGCCGAAAAAGTCACTTCTTTGATATTTTTAGTTTGTGCGCTTAACGGTATGCGAATTCATCAAATGCGCCTGGTATGTTTGAAAGGCAAAAGACTGGCCTCTCGAATGACGCCAACAAGAATAGCTTATGTTGTCTACCTTGCGTGCTACGGGCGTCAGAAAAAAAGTATTCGGCGTTCCCCCAACTTCCCCTAAATACGTTATTGTCAGTTGGAGTTCACGATTAGGCCGAGAGCGAGATACTAAAATTTGAATAAGCATTGCATATGTCTTGGTCTTTGGTCAAACTGGTTCGTTCGATTTATTATCGGCGGTTGTCAGGTGCGATTTGAGGTTGGAATTCGTTTGTGAAATTAAGGGTGTAGATTCGTGCTGTACTCACTAAAAGTTGCATCGCGAAATCATCGCAGCGATATTTTACTAGATTCACACCCACTAACACGTCCGGTGAATCTACCCGGCCAGAAGAGACAACACGCACGAGTACTGTACCGCGAGTGTTGACGCGCCGCACCGCCCAGCCGCGCGACCTTGGCTGTCGGGGGCCGGCGACGACGATCCACTGCCCGGCCAGTCAGACACGCGTCGGTCGCGACGCGGAACCGTGCGCCGCTAGATGGCATGAGAGCAGCGTCGGGAGTGGAGCAGCGGCCACAATAGGGGCAGTGGGTTAGCCGTAATTGGGGCGAAGGTCATCGTATAGGAACATGGTTAGTTGTGGAAAGTTGCCACGGGATAAGAACGCAAACAGTTAATGCATAATTTTAAATATGACATGCTATATGATATCTAGGACTGTTTGATGTGCATTGTTTACTGCTGATGGGATGATTTAAATTAGATTTTCAATGAAAGGCTAGGGATCCCTATGACAATATTCTGGCACTCTATAAAGATAATTTGTACATGTAACTAGTAGCCCATCAGAAGCTATCGAACGAGTTTCAAGGAGTCATTTCCGTTTGAGCACTCAGTAATTTACTATGATACGGCGGTCACAACCAGACGACAGATCCGTGCGTACTAATTGGTTCTAGATCATCTGATTAACCCGCGCACCGACGGGGGGCGGATATCCGCCCCCCCCCCCTGAGGTTTTTCGCGAATAGCGGGAAAACCGCGGCGCGAAATTTGGTATGACTATTCCCTCATTAATTTTACACATGGTGTGCAAGTTTGAACCTCCTACCTTTCAAGGTCAGGTCACCAGGTCACTTTGAATGACCCAACCACAAATCACTTTTTTGCAACTTTGTCACCGTGCCAGAGCTACAGTAGATGTCGGAGGCCTTTGAAAGTCGCAGGATGTTATTAGGTCATTAGTAGCTACAATTTGTTTATCTCGGAATTTTGATATCGGTGACCTAAGGTCAGGTCAATTTCGCGACCTCCCCATTATAAGTCAATGGGGGAAAAATCAACTCCCTGTTTTTACCACTAAAACGGGTCGGAATGGCCCCATATACCATACATGACTTCATATACGATCAACCTTCACTACCTTGAGATCTGTTTTGCTGTTGGGCAGCTGTGAGGTCATGTGACGTCATCAAAGGTCACCAAAGGTTTTTGGCCAATAACTCCGTACAGGAACAAGATACAGACGCGTGGATGGTCTCATTGTGTTCAGCTCGTCAAGACGCATCGAATGATATGCATGATGACCTCGAGGTCACGTGACCTGAGGTCAACCTTTGACCTTGACATTTCGAGGTCAACATATATATCATTCGATGCGGATTGACGAGAGGATCACGATGCTGCCCTTAGTTTGTTCCTATCTTGACTATTTCGAAAGTTATTCGAGAAAAACTCTCCATATCCAGCGCCGCCATTTTGACTTTTTCGACCCCTGTGACGTCATCTTTGACCTGACCTGAAAATGACCTTTGTAAAAATTGTAGATCTTGACCGTGCGTATCCGATGCCGTTTACCGCTTGTCGCTATCTTGCTTCGTTCTCGAGATCTCAGGGGGGCGGTCATCCGCCCCCCCCCCCGTCGGTGCGAAGTTGGCGCAGACCCCCGTCGGTGCGCGAGTTAAATCAAGAGCGGTTCAAGGTCTGCTAGGGTTGTATACGAGAACTGATGATAAGGTTCACGCGTACAGCAGCAATAAGGACTTGAGATTACAATTTGGTTTGGATAAATAATGCGTTTTGTTCTTCGCGTTCTTGCGAGTTAGCGCCAATAATTAC